ATGATTTATGTTTTTTCTTCTTCTTAAGTTTTCAAATGACAATTTTAATTGATGAGGCAATATTAACATAAATGTAAAGGATGCGGAGAAAATATTTAAAAGATATGGTGAGACATACAAGGATATTGGGTATTCGGTATATTCTTGGTTTAATTGAATATTAAAGATTAAAAATCGAGAAAAAAAGAATGACAAGGAAAAATAATTAAGCCTTAAATAAAACAAATCAAACTCTTAACATGATTTTATCAATACATCCATGATTGCTTTATAATTCGAATCCAATCTAAATTAGCAAATTTAGTGTTTTATATTATTTTCTTGCTGAAGCAGAATTTATTTTTTTCCTCCAAATGTAATGCATGATGGAATCCTTTTAATCATTGGCAAGTATTGTACCTTAAACAAATTGTTGTGTTGCAATTGGCTGAACAATATTTAGAATCATCACCATTACTTCTATCATATATGATATAAATATATGAATTTGCAATGGAAGTACTGAGTTACTATGTTGACTCCAAGGTTGTGCTTATTCCTGTCACTGATGGTCTCATCCTCAACACATATGCAAAATCTGTGGTGAATATTATTCGCCATAGTGACATTCCATGTTGCAGCCTTTGCATTGGGTTATTGGGCTTCCAAGTTACCATTTTTGATGTACATGTCAAGTTTCAAAGTATTTGTGCTCATCAATGATTTCTTAAACTTTATGATATGTGGAACAAAATGTATTTTTACCATTTTATGTACTTCATCAACTCCTTGTATACACTCTTTTCAGAATAGCTCAATCATATCTAAAGAACTCAGTTTGAAAGTTAGTGCTTCTTCTTTATGTAAAAACGTACTCCAAGTGATGTAAAGCACATGACACATGAAAATCTCAAATCAGCAAACTATAAATTTTCGAACAGAAATCATACAGACCAACTATTATTAAGAAATATGAAACACATTTCTCATCAAAAGCATGTCCCAATGCTGCAAAACAAGCTAAATATCGTACCGCATAAATAAATACTATAACTCAACTTCTGCAAAGTCAAGTATATCCTTTCAAACATATATGCCATTTAAAACATGCGAGCTAAAACATATAACTGAATCTCGAGATGGCTGAAGACAGACACCCAAAGTAACCACACATGATTTGAAGAAGAGGTAGAGGTTTATACATGGATGTCGAATGTAGCAGGCAGCGGCAATGTCGCGATCAGGAGAACAAATGCAATGTCGCGATCAGGAGAACAAATGCAATGTCGCGATCAGGAGAACAAATGCAATGTCGCGATCAGGAGAACAAATGCAATGTCGCGATCGGGATGGCGAACAGAGGTGAGACTCGCGATCGAGATGGTGAACACAGGCGAGAGTCACAATCGCGATGTCGAACACAAGCGAGAGTCACGATCGGGATAGCGAACAGAAGTGAGAGTCGCGATCGGGATGGCGATCTCGGGCAGAGCGGGGGAGGAGAAGATGAGAAAACGAATAAAGGAGTGAAGATGAGAGGAGATCGAGATTTTCTACCACTCTCGGGTGATTGGGAAGTACTGAGGGAGGAGCAGAATTGTTTCGCTTAGGGAACACAGAGGGTCGCGAGAGGGGTAGGCAGGTAAAGATTCACGTGGAGGACGTTCGGAACGCTGATCGTGGGATTATACCCGCGATCGTGTATCCGCTAATTTAGAGACGCAATTTTCTGATAATCGTCCTAAACGTGCAAAACAAACAGTGCGGCGGCGTTTTCAAAAATGCCGCCGCACTTATAAGCTGCCCCAAACGGGCCCTAAGAATTTCATGTGATTTTCCGGTCCTCTGATCTGTGAAGGGATTAAGGTTTGTGTTGATCCTTTGGTGGACTCAAGTACACTGTCGGGCAGAGGTTTAGTGGTGGAGTCCATGATTCCTACCGAGCAAAAAGTGATGTTGGGTTGTCTAGACATAGAAGGGTTTCCGCTGCAAAAGGGAATTGAGTCGACCGGAAGCACATGCCAGAAAGGTCTGGCTGCAGTATACTTGGTCCTGGCTGGACAGATGAGCTGTTGTAAATGTTGTCTGGAAAGAATAGCAGGCAAAACTACCAGCTGGGAAGAATCGTGTGAATATCTCCAAAAGAATCGTGGAAACACAGGAAGAATTGAGGGAATATGTCGGGAAGTGAAAAACGCAATACTGCTAAAGTCTCATGGGAATATCACAAGACTACAAATGTCTCGCGGGAAGGAAAGTTGGGAAGGTAAAAATGGCGGGAATATATGCGGGAGAATAGCAGGAAATCGATCAGATTAGCAAGGAGATCCGGCCGACTAGAGAGAGATCCGGTCGGCTGGAAAAATGTCCGGTGGCTGCTAGGATTAGCTTTGATACCATGTGAACTTTAGAGAATAGAGCAACATAATTCATTGATAGAAAAGAGGTGTATAAATATATATTACAAGGCCCGCATAAAAGAAAAAACTTAAATTCATAAAAAAAATAAATATAAAAATGGAGAAAAATAAAGAAAGCAAATAAAGCTAAATAAAGAGAGAAAATAAAGCTAATAATTCTAATACCTTCAAATTTCCATAAGTTGTGGAAAAGAACTACATGGCACAACACAATATGAGATGTGTTTAAGAGAATTCACATACATGCATTTCATAGGAAAACTGTATGCTTCGCCAAGAACCATCTTTCATGCACTTTGATCCTTGTGCCAAAAAATAAACTTATGACTAATTTGCATCTGTAGCTTCTTTCTGCACAGCTACTTTGACTTCTCTTTCAGACTTTAAATGGTAAAGTTTATGTTTATTACCCTTCCTCTGTTCTCCCTTCCAATGTCAAAAATCGTTGATTTTTTCACTAAGTTTGCATTTCTATTTGGTGCAATGCTTCTCGACCTGTAGTGTGTAAAATTCATTATTCAAGTATGATGAATTTTCTGTTGATTTTGTATTGTGTTGCATCCACGTCAAGAACTACAATGTTACCGTTAAAAAATATATAAAGTAGGAATGAGTTTATTTCAGAATTTTAAGATTCTCTTTCAATTAAAGCATCTTATTTAGAATTTGAAAAATTCACGATTCATTGTTTAGTACAAAAACTTCCCACCCAACTCGCATAGCTAATGCAATAACTCATACTTTTTAAATTGGCCTGGCTCATCAGAATGGCTTCATACTTGTATCTTATTATTTAACTGCATAAAATAGTAGATTTTTTTAATAGATTTTGTATTATCATTCGACCTTTATACAAAATATACGAAAATAGAAATTCATTTATAACACAATTGAAACACTGCATGGCCTGGGTTTAGAAGAAAAGTTTCCATGATACCCCCTTTAAAAACTGCCCATCCGAAAAAATATTAAGGCTAAAAACCAAAATATATTATTATAAGTAGAGAAGTATATAATGTCGCCAGCTTAATATCGAGAGCATTATATTCAACTATTATGTATGAAGCACAATTCATCTCAAACTGAACCAGAAATCAATGCATCCTTACTAAAGAACTTTCAAATTTCACATTATTAGACTACGATTGTAGCATATCCCAAACATCAACATAAAATAAGATATTATTTTTTAAAGCAAACAGAAAATTAAAACCAGCACACTGAAATAGCAAATAACAATCGATTCGACACACAAACACAACTAGAAGTTGATCCAAGGGAGGAGGTGGTTGGCTAGGTCGGATGGAATGGGTAGTTTTGGGTGTTCGAGGGTGGCGGTTACAGCAGGTAAGATTTTTAGGAGGTGGATGACGTGTGATAAGGCTTGTGGGCAGCTGGAACAGCAGTAAAACAGCAAATGGAAGGAGTTGCGGGACTGCGGCAGTGATGTCGGATGTCTGGACAGCAGTATAATAGCAAGAGGAGTTGTGGGGCTGCGGCAGCGATGCCAGACAGTAGCACAGCAAGAAAACAGCGGGTTTGCAAAAACAAGGAACGGTGATTGGAATTGATGCGGGAATGTTGTGGAAGGCGGAGGTGGCTGTGCTGGGCAGCAACAAGGCTGGTAAGGAAGGGAGGCGGCTGGAAATGAGGAAACTACAGGGAAAAACAACAATAGCTGTTGTTCTGCGGCGGCTGCAGCAGGGAAGGATAATGTGGAGCGGCGAGCAGTGATAGGATAAGGATAAATCTAGATATAGTCAGAGCACCACTCAACCCTTGAATACAGCTCTCGAAAAGAAAAACTGAGACACCAATAGCTGTCCAAAAGAAAGCACACCAGAACTACCCTAGACTCATACGAAACAAATATATAATAACAGAATAACTAGGAGTGGCCCTAGAGGTTTGGACGGCTCCTCAGAAGGAAGAAAAACCTGGACTGGTTTGGTCCAAGCAAGCAGCAACGTGCTGCTTCTATCACGGGAATTCTCGCATCTATTCCGTAAGCAAATGGCGCTTGCATCAATTTAACTATCAGGTATGCAGCACAATTCATTTCAAACTGAACCAGAAATCAATGCATCCTTGATACGTAACTTTCAAATTAAAAGTTATTAGACTATGATTATAGAATAGTTCATTGAATTAAGGGTTAGATATCATGCAAGATATACATTAAACCGTGCATGCTACGTCCCCAGCCATCTAAATTGCATATCAAAAAGACTAATGAAATAATACTGACGTAGAATAATTATTTCCTACAAAAATAAAAATAAATAATTGTAAACAAATAACAAAAAGATAAAAATGAGTAATTCATCTCGCATAATAAACAATCGTCTAATCTAATGATGTTATTTAGGCTGAGACCTACAAGTAAGGTGATTCACAACTGACTAATGGATGGGTATAACCGCAAATCCTTCTATTTGCCTATGTTAAAACAAAAAAAATTCACAGCTGCCACAATTTAAGGGAAAAGAGCCACTAATATGTTTGTCGGGCCAGCAGAGATAATTTGTTATGAGAATGAATTATCTCAATGGAAAAAATATATGACAAACTCGAGCGCCAAAATGAATTTTCCTCACAAACCTGCAAGTTCTGCAGCATAATCATCCTGAGGCTGCTCGTCAACAAATCGGAATTCCATGTTTCCTATGTCTTGTAGTTCCTTGAATATCCATTCTTGTGGACCAGATTGACGAAGCAATTTGATGTATTGGTACAAAAATCCAACAATTTCATATATCTGTAGATTGATGTGTCAGAAAACATGCAGTTATAAATAAATCAGGTGTGTGAAATACATCCATATATGCAAACATTGGTGAAGCTGCCATAAAGAAATAATCAGGAAAAATGGCGCTTATGATCAGGAATAGCTAGTAGCACACATGCTGCATAAACTAATCAATATTCATCATTCTGGATGATACCAAAAATTAAAAAAAAATGAAAGTACGGGCAGCAGAAAAGAAGTGGAAGATAATAATACAGATTTAATTACTATGCAGTTCAAAATTTTGAATTATGGAGGTCAACTTAAGAGTCTAAATGCTTTGATTTGAGTAGATTTAAAACTGAATACATTGAATGTAATTTTAGTAATAATAGATCTAATGAAGGAGTTGTAACAATGTATGATCAAATCATTAAAAGGAGTGAACATTTTAAATATCTTGGATCTATTGTTCAAGGTGATGGAGATATAGATATGGATGTTATTAATAAAACTCAAGTTGGATGGTTGAAGTGGAGGAATGCATCCAGCTATTGTGTAATAGAAAACTACCGCTTCGACTTGAAGGGAAATTTTATAAGATGGTGGTGAGACCTGCAAAGCTTTATGGCGCGGAATGTTAGCCAATAGAAGAGAAGCATATAAGTTGAGTGTTGTCGGGATGAGAATACTTAGGTGGGTGAGTGGCTTTACACTTAAAGACAAATTGTGAAATGAATATACCGTAGAAAGGGATGGTGTAGCTCCAGTAGCAGACAAGATTAGAGAGGGCAGTATTAGATGGTTTGGTCACATTAAACGTCAACCATCTAATGATCTTGTTTGGACAACAGATAATTTAGATTTGAATTTTATTAAGGCAGGTAGAGGTAGACCTAAAAAGAATTGGGCATGTTGTATAAAAAATAATCTTAAATTATTAGAAGTAAATGAAAATATGACACTAAATAGGATGCAATGGAGAAAAACAAATTCTTGTAGCCGACCCCATTAGTAGGATAAGGGCTTGTTGGTGGTGGTGGTGGTGGTGTTGTTGTTTAGTTCAATAATTCAGAGAGTTGGTTAGGCATTTGTTTAATTAAATGGCCAGAGTTATTATGTGCACATATTTTCAAAATCTTTAAATGAATGCTAAATCATAATGAAACAACTTTATTTTTAATAGATTCTAATGCTCTTAGTAGACCCTCAAGGTGATATAATCACAAGGAACCAATCTAGAAACTCATCCAATAGAAATAAGGGATACAAAAACAAAAAGCTAGCTATTTCACATAATAACATGTTACAGTTATAGGAAAAACTAAATAATGTTAAGAAGGAAAAAAAAAATTTCAAGTTTTCTTGCACTCCAAGTTTTAAAATCTCGTTGAAATATGTCACAAACAGGCAATTAAATTGTTTTTATATTTATTTTTTATGACTAACATTCAATAAATGAAAAAGTCATTCAAGAAAAAAAATTAATGCAACAAAGTTAAATTTACTTTATTTTTATTATCCGTGATATAAATATTTTCTCTTATATTGTTCATCTTTTAATCAAATAGATAAAACTTAAAAGTTAGCTAATGAAACTAAAATTAGAATAGGATCTTAGAATATATTTGCTCTCACAGGTAAATTAATGGAATCAGTAGATATTATGGTTCATAGAAAGATAAATATCTCATGCGTTCAAGAAATTAAATGGGTCGGAGAAAAGGTTAAAAATTGATAGCTTAGGTTTTAAACTTTGATATTTAAGTAGGACTCACACAAGAAATGGTGTAGGTGTATTTATAGATAGGAGTTTAAAAAATAATTTTATAAAAATTAATAAAATTTGAATAAAATTATAGCCCTAAAGATTATTGTTGATACTAAGAATATTAATTTTATAAGTGTTTATGTTCCTCAATTAGATTAGATATATGCTCAGCAGAAATATTTTAAAATGACCTAGAAAAATTAATAAAAATGAAACCTCTTAAAAAAAATTTAATGAAAAAGATTTAAATTAGCATGTTAGTTGACCGATAAAAGATTTTAGAGATATTCGCGATGGCAATGATTTTGGAATGACTAATGAAAAATGTAGAATCATATTGAATTTTGTTTTACCATATGATTTTGTTATTGCTAATATTTTATTTAAAAAAAACAGTGTATTATTATTTATAAGAATGGATCTATTAAAATATAAATTGATTATTTTCAAATGAGAAAAAGATAATCTCGAGAATATAAACATTATAAGGTCATTCCAACTAAAAATTTAAGTGCTCGATGAAGATATTCAACATAACTGGGTGAGATATTCTCATAAATGTTTCAATGAAATTTTTGAAAATACGATCGATTTAATGAACTTAATATCTATAATAATAAAAAATGTTTTTTTATAATCACATTAGTAAAAAGTAAATCAAAAAGTACTTTTTATAAGATGAAGATATTCAACATAGATGGGTGAGATATTCTCACAAATGTTTCAATGAAATTTTTGAAAATACGATCGACTTTAGTGAACTTAATATCTATAATAATAATAAATGTTTCTTTTTTATCATCACATTAGTAAAAAGGAAATTAAGGAGTTTTAAAAAAAATCAATGGTGGAAAATCAGTAGGACTTGATAGAATTCCAATGAAAGTGTCTAAATATTTATGAGATTTACGAATTTCTTGGCTTATGAAACTTTTTAATATTATTTTAAAAATTAAAAAGATGTCAGAGTGAAAGAGGAAATTTTGGTCCCCATTTTTAAGGATATAAGGGATGCAAAAGAGTGAAAACTATTAGGAAACTAAGTTAATGTGTCATACATTAAAATTATGGGACAGTAACTGAACATATAGATTAAGACGTGATACAAATATTTCTCATTATTAGTTTAAATTTATGCAGGGCAAGTCTACTATGGAAGTTACACATTTATCAAGAGTTTTGATGGAAAAGTACGGGGAGAGTAAGGAGGATCTACATATAATTTTTATTGATTTAGAAAAGGCTTATAATAAAGTTCCAAGAGAAATTCTTTGGAGAGTTTATGACTTATATTCAAGTCATTAAAGACATGCATACTAGAGTTGCTACTTTTGTTCGAACAGAAGAAGAACTGACCAAGTAGTTTCCTATTTAAATTGGATTATTACATCAGGGATCGACTTTAAGCCCAAATATCTTTGCTTTAGTTTTGGATGCTCTTACTGGACATATACAGAAGGATGTACCTTGGTGTATGTTTTTTGCGAAGGATGTACCTTGGTGTATGTGTGTATGTTTTTTGCTGATGATATCCTTCTTGTGGATAAGACAAAAGAAAGAGTAAGGAAACATTTGAATTGTAGAAGTAAATTTTAGTAGAGTCTAAAAGCCTTCATTTCAGTAGATCTAAAACTGAATGCATGGAATGTAATTTTAGTAGTGGTAAAACTAGTGGCGCAGTTGTAACAATGGATAATTAAATCATTAAAATGGAGTGAACGTTTTAGATATCTCGAGTCTATTGCTCAAAGTGATGGTGATATAGATGGAGGAGTTACTAGTAGAATTCAAGTGGGATATGCATCGTGCCTATTGTGTGATAGAAAACTAATGCTTAGACTTAAAGAAAAATTTTATAAGATGTTGGTGAGAACTGCAATACTTTATGGCGCAAAACGTTAGCCTATAAAAGAAAAGCATAAAACTAAGTTAAGTATTGTTGAGATGAGAATGCTTAGATGGATGAGACAATGCGAAACGAATATATCCGAAAGGGTTAGCGCGGCTCCAATGGAAGACAAGGTTAGAGGGAGGCGTCTTGGATGGATTGGTCACATTCAATGTAGACCATCTGATGATCCGGTTAAGAGAGTAGATAATTTAGATTTGATTTATGTTAAGGTAAAGGTAGACCTAATAAGACACGGGCATGTTGTATAAAAAATTATCTTAATTAATTAGAATTAAATGAAAATATGACACTCAATAGAAGAACAGGATTTATGTAGCCAACCCAACTTAGTGGGATAAAGGCCTGTTGTTGTTGTTGTCTTCCTCTCTACATGTCGTCGGAAAAAGTATACTTGATTCAGCCATAGGCCTCATAATCGTCACTCGAGAGAGTCTTTTGTCGGCTTCTTCCTCCTTCCCTTACACAATCCTCAAATAGCTTTTGCCCAGAGTCGAGATCAAAGAACGGTCAACGTGCAAGTGCATGAGCTCAGGTACTAATATTTCTTCTTCCACCTTCACTCGAATCAATGCCTTCTTCCTTTTTCTCCTATGATACTTCTCCAACTCCGGCTCTTGCTCGCCTAATCGCTCACTCCACATGTTTGATTTGAGCCCTTTCGTTCGATCTGCTCTACCGGACGAAGGCAAGCTCGCTTAAGTAAGTCGATTGCTCCTATGTTGTGCTCAACCTCACCCACGATCAGTCCACTCCTCCCCCTTAGAGCCGCTCGCCTGTACCTAATAACTTCCTAGAAGCGGCTTAAATCCGTATGAGGTTTCAGCAAGGTTCGCATGGTACTGTAATCGGTGTTGATTATTCTTATATTTGTTGTTGCCTTCCCCTTTCTTCTCCCTCGCTCTCAATTATTTGGCTGGCTGCATGTGTTTAGTAGAATGAAACGAGGAAAAGTATCCATCTTTTTGGTTTCTGTGAGTGGCACATCTCATTTTAACAACACCGATTTCTTTTTTTTTAAACAGTTATTACAATCACTCACCCTTATAAAAATTTTGTCCTCGAAATTTATAAACATATCACAATTCACTTCTCATTAATTAGAGAAAACTTAAATTATCCTTAAATTTTCATGAAGATGCTTGAATCTCATTGAACAAGATATAACATGAATACAGTAAAATAATGGTCTATTACAAAATAACTCAACTAACTTCCCTCATCAATTGAAATAGGATAACATCACTTCTAAAACAGGATAACATAACAACACACATTTTCTTAAAAAAATACACTGCATTAACACTTCTATATCATGCCAAAAAAAATGAAACTCAAGTTACTCATCAACCTTTGGCAGCATCAACATCTACAGCAGGTTCCTCAGACTCTCTACTAGTAAAGGAATAAACCCAATGTCAAATAGTTTGTCCTTTGTGAACTTGAGTAGGAGCTAAAGCTATGGACTCTATCATTCTTTGTCGACCTACAATCATCTATGAAGGAGCTCCAACTAATTTCTTCTCTTTTGAGATTTTTCAAGTTATGGACAACATCTCGCTTATGACCAGGCTGATGATACCAGTAGTATGCTTGAGAGCCCATCAAACATTCACTTTTATGTTGTTTTCCACACCCAATACAAGTGAATACGGTACTTCAAGAAGTGTCACCAGTGAATCTATTAGAACTGAATTTGAGTTTCTTCCAATTAGATTCCTCTATTTGGTTCATATGCTATCACTTATCAATGCTCTTCCTCTTATGCATATATTTATACTTCTGAGTGAGCTGATAATCAATTTACACTCGCCTAGCATGCTCCACCAACACTAAGTAATCATCAATTCTCAATAGCACCAACAAGCATCTGATCGAATCCTTCAATCCAAAAAAAATATGTAACACTTCTCTTCCGCAGTAGCTATCAACTGTGGAGCATACCTTGACAACGCAGGGAACTCTGTTTTACATTGTATAACTGATTTCTCTCATTGCACCAGCTTAATAAATTCACCTTACATCTGCCTTTGAACTGATAAAAGTACAAACCACTTTGAAAAGCTCCACAAAATCCTCCTACTTACTATCAGGTTGGGTATATTCTCAAGTCTATCCTTACGCCGCCCACGCCACCACCCTTTTGCTTCTCCGTCCAATACAAATGTACCTAATGATACTCTTCTTTCATTATAGCACGTCATATTATCTAATATCTTCTCAATTCGCACCAACTAGTTCTTTGTTTCAACTGAATCTTCAGTTTCTTTAAACAAAGGTTGACGCATATGGTTGAGTACATCCCCAAGTCTATCCAGATGTCGCCCGTGCTACCACTTTTTTGTTTCTTCGTTCAATAAAAATGCATCTTCTTTCATCATGGCACGTCATAGTATCTAATATCTTCTCAATTTGCATCAGTCAGTTCTCCGCTTCAATTGAATTTTCAGTTACTTTAAACAAACGTGGAAGTAGATCTTGAAATATCTTCAAGTAATTATCCACACAATAAACTCACCCCCACTATACTGAAGTCTGGACTCCTAAATCAGCTGTCATGGCCACCAGAATCTGGGTTGGGACATTCATATTTATACAAATACTTGATTGTTTACTCCTCAAATCTTTGATTTTTTCTAGGCAGTCTGACAAAATCGATAAATTTATCGATTTAAATTGAACTACTACTTATTAATTCAACCCTATCAAAAAATTCACAAAAATAATATTTTTAACTGAAAATTACATCATGAAATCTCTCAAGCCTATTATCTTCCAATTCAAATCAATTTGTTGGAAAAAATAAGGAAAATTGAATCCTCACCTCCAATTCTAGCTTTTCATCATTTCTCCTCCTCCTCCTCCTCCTCCTCCTCCTCCTCCTCTTACTCCTCTTCATCTTCATTCTTCTTTAGTAGTCCCTTCACCGGCACTTAGAAATTAATCCAACCAATGCATACCATGTTTAGTGGATTTAAATTTTATTGATGTAGCACCATTGCTATAGTACAGATGGAGTAAGTGCTCCAACGAAAGCAACTAAAATATAAAAAACATTTGATTTAATCAGTAAATAACTAATAAAATTACATTATCTACATATAAACCTATACATCAAATTAATCATAATAAAATACTAAATTTTATAAAAACAGCTTTGATGATTTCTGGAATATGCAAAAAAAACTGAATATGATTTTGAAGCAAAATTTTGTTTACATTTTTATATTTTAAAGTATTACAATAATATCCCGAAATAACAAAATCGTGAAATTTTCATCAAGTTCATCATTATTCGCCTCACCATTCACTCTGAGTTAATGTGATGTATATCCATTTTATTTCCCAAAAAATTGTTGCAACTAAGCTGAGTATATTAAAGCCCACTAATTAGCCTAATGTTAAAACTCTATCATGGCCGGGAAGAAAATTGACTAACTTTCCACCCATTCCTATATTAACTAACAACTGTCAACCAAAAACCTTGAAGTAGACAGCACTAGAGATTAAAATTGACCAAAGACTTTCATTCCATAGGGGGAAGATGCAGACTATCTCATCCTTGCATAAGAATAATCATCAGATATGGATGGTGACCGCAGCCTTGTATGGAACATATGTGTTTGCCAAGACCCTAAATAATTGACATAACGTATTAGGGTTAGCTTAATATAGTGAACTCAAAATTAAGTCGACCAAAAGCAGCCTCCTCTTTAGTTGTTCAGGCCAATGCTTCAAACGCCTCCTATGTCAAGCATTAGTTATGACTGCTAGTTCATAAAAACAAATCAAAATATAAAAACATCATGATTTAGAATACTATAGGTCTTATGACTAAACAACAAAAAAAGGCAATGGAACAATAAAAGTTGGTGGCTCAAAAATTTCAGCCCCAAGTAAATAAAAAAAAAATCCCGTGAATCCTAAAGAAGTCCAATAAAAGTAGATTTCGGTTAAAAAGAAAAATATAATTGCATCGGAGCTGAAGCATCACCCCATAATACGTTAATCAAGGCGCTTTAAGAAAACAATTAAAAGGAATGTTCAGTGAAAAAATTGCAACAAGACATGTTCTAAAAGACATGGTTAACCTCTGCATCTGAGCTGAAGCATCACCAACAAATGGCAAAATATGGGTTATTAATATCCTCTACTTATTGTCAAAATCAATTTGCTGAAAAATGCCCCAAAACGAATAGTTGATCAGACAAGCTTATATCTGATAAGGACTGTACCATACAACTAATCATAAAAAAATGCAAAGCAGCAAGAGAAAGTACCAGCTAATGGACTAAAATCTCAACCATAAATTACCAGCATAAATACTGGAGAACCTAATGTAAAACCTAGGCGCCAGCAGAAAATAAAACATCAAGTTTGACTTATTTAATAACATACAAATCCAACAGATAAAAGTCACTGAAAGCAGAATTATATAGGGAATATCCGAACAATGCTCCCGCAAAAAGAAGCCGTAAGTCACATGAAACTGGAGAAGAAGTTACTATGAATATTAATCAGAAAGTTTCAAAAGGCTAATCTGTGTTAATGACCGATCAAACATAAAAATCATCTTGAAAATTGCTTAGAAGACATATGAACGTTTCTGTACAAACATAGGGATGAAATTAAAAATTTTGCCAAGGACAAGATCATTCATGCAAAAAAGAAAAAGCAAACATATGCACTATTGCATCATTCATAGATGCTCCACTTCCAAACATAAGAAATAAGATCAATAAAAATACAAATATATTTACATATTGAATAATAGTGACATGCATTTAACTTCATGTCTATACAACTAATTTAGCTGCTGAACATATTATGGATATTTTACAAAGGATGTGATAGCTCTTGATAAGGATTAAGAAAAAGTTGCCTTCAATTTTGTTGACCAAATTAAACCTAGTTTTTTTGTTGTCTTTCGTTTTTTTTTTTTTGTGTTGTTAATTTATTATCGTTGATAATTTATTATCGTTGAATTCATTAACTTTAATTCATGTTACTTTTTCTGATAGAGTTAGATAACAAAAATCAATTACAATTAACTTCCAATACAGTTTTTACCGGAAACCTGAGGTAATTATGTGTCGTTTATTCTGTAGCAGCTTATTAAATGGATAGAAAAGCCAGATTTAAAGCATTAATAAAATGTTTTTTTTATATGTGCCTTCGGGCATGATATTGTTATACTTTAGATCTAAAAATATAAATTTCTAATATTTAAAATTCCAAATGTTAATGTACAAGAAAATAGGGAAAAAAGAAATATTAAATCAAATCTTGTGACAGTATTTTAACAAAATAAATGCATACCCTTTCTACTCCAGAATCTGTCAAATTGACTGACATGACAAACACATAAGCAATTGAAGAACGGTACATGCCTTCATCACCAACACCAGCAGATAAATATGTTGCCCAACCTTTAGCTTTAAGCAAAAAAAATAGGCCGCCACTGCCTTCTGAAAAATAAGACATTTTTAATAATTTAACACTTTGATTGTCCAAATATAAAAGTAAAATTTCGAACTAGAATATTTAGGTGACACTTTAGAGTACAGGTAACTCAACCATGCCCGAGAAGATGTGCCAAGTAATCCTCTGGTTTTTTGAGATATTCCTTCTGAAGGCAGGGTAAACTCCATGACAACTCTAGTACATGAACATCTTTGACAGCTTCAACTCTATAAAGTTTACCAGACTTCCATACAGGAATATCACATCCAATAATGGCCCTCACCGAGTTGCCTTTCTTAACATTGCTGAAAAGTTCTACTACCCATTTCTCGAGGATATCAAGTGACTCTACAAAAACAGATAAGAGGACTCAGCAGAAATGGCTAATCACAACAAATTAAGAAAGCAAATGAATTTTTTATCATTACAGAACAAGGGACAAGACTTGCAGTAAAGGTCAAATGACTACATAAGAAAATTTACGCCACTTTACCTCCTCCAATAACCACAAGTTTCATTATGTCCCCATGATAGTTTCCCCGATACATTAGCAAGATTTCCTCCCGCAGATTAACTCCATTTTCCATCGCATCAACCAAGCTTTTCTTATTTCCTGAAGACAGCAAAAATATAATCATTACAACAACACCATGTTATATTTAAAACAGATGACTAATGCTGATGAAGAGGATACCCCAGAAGAATCTGTTAAATGGGTGACCAGGTGTAGATGTATGGCAAGTAAGTTGCAGAAGACGGCAGCTATCACTTTGCAAAACTTGGTTGAACTCTGCACAAAAAGAATTTAGAATGATAACATGAAAGCTATTTTAAGTAGATTTCTATTGACAAACAAATTATATAACAATATGTTTAATAATAATAAACTATTTCTATTAGGAAAGAGACTGTCCCAACGAAAATAAATAAATAGTGTTATAAAAACTTTGCAAATAGAGCGTTGATATAAAGCTTGATAAGGAAAAACTTGTACCAGAATCAACTGCTAACACTTCCCGTTCCATAGCTTCAGCCTTAACTAGGGGTGATACAAAAAACTGAGAAAATCTGCAAATACATATCATGGTTAAGTGCATAATGAATCGTCGCCTATACGAGACCCAATAAAATTAAATATATAAAATAAATAAATAAACTTTGGTACTGCAAAGAAGCAGTAGTAAAAGACATGAAGTTTCAAGACTATCCACAAAAGCTAACAGTAAATTGTACGTGATGAAAGAAAAGCAGCAACCTTTCTAAAGCTCCTTTGAGAAACTGATGATTAACTTCGAAGTGGTAGCAAGTGTACTCGGTCTCAGTGTAGGCATTACTGGAACCTCCATGCTTCGAAAGGTAACTATCATACTAGAAAACCAAACCAAAAGGACAATGTCGCATATGATACATGAGTACTGATATATTTCCATGAAAAATGAATGAATAAGATAAATGTATGATACTGTCACAGAATTTAAAGCAAGAAGCCAAAAGTCTCAGATTTATAATAAATACACAAACCGTTTGATTCTTTTCTACCAAATCCCTTGGGAAGTTAATGATGGCAGAAGTATCTTAATAACCTGGTAGCTTTTTTCGCTTTAGTGGTGGCGGTGGGCGAGGTCTTTGGAACCATACCACATATATTAAAATAAATGATTGCAAGGAGCTTCTCATAACATGTATCAATCAATACCTGTCCATCAACTTGACAAACTTTTTTTTGGCTTCCCGCCTCAACACTTAATTTCTGTACAGATTCATTTTACTCTTTTCTAATTGACTCAGTTATCCCTATATATATATTTTTAATCAACTATATCAACTAATATAATGATATAAGTATATCAAGGGCATTTAGCAAGAACTGTAAGACTACAACGAAAAATACAACAGAGCAAAAAAGGGACAATGATTTCATCTAAAGTGTCCAGCTTAGTGAAAATAAAAGAGAGAGTATATTTTCTTATGATTTTTGCAACTTCTAGTATAAGTAACTAGAATCTTTTACCCCCTGTCTAATTGACCCTCTGAATGCTTCAATCAAAATCAGAAATGATTTTTATGATTAATAATCACTAATTTGTTCACCAATGAAAAAAGGTTGAGGCATTTCAAAAACTTGCAAAGTTTTCGGTCAAAATAATAGTAGGTTTTTTTTCTGGACAAAAATCGCAAGAGAAGCAAAATAATTTAAGTGATCAACACTAAAGAGCTGCCACAAAAAGGAATATCAGTCACTTTTTTCCTATAGAAGAATTGAACCTGGCTCCACATTTTGGGAACAGACCAGGAGAAATAAGGGGAGATCTTCCACCAAATGATGAGGAGGATCAATATAAGCATCAGATGAAAATTCTTACAACTGAAATTGATAATTTCTCAAATCTGGATGAGACTTGAAGCTATCAACTAATTTATGTTAAAAAATATGTCAAGAGATGTAATAAAATGAAACGTGATTAAATTCCACTCCCTATCAATATTCAGACAACACTAGCAATCCACATCTCCTTATGAAAGAGGACAAGAACGCCAAATTCCACCAAAACTCTTAAAATACTCAAAGATATTTTCTGATATAAAAGCAAAATACTCAAGAAATATATACTCTAAAATTTCAAGTTTTATAAAAATTATTTCATTGCATTCTATGTTTCAGTTCGGTCATTTTAATATCCAAAAGCATATGCTAATTCTCAAAGATGAAAAAGTTATAAATTTAATTTCAGTTTGAATTAAATTTTCCTAAAGTTTTATTTAAATAGCAAGAAGTGGAAATTCAAATTTTTATATTAAATTTTCATGATGAAGCATCTAACGACAGTGGTGTATATGATTATATATGCTTATATATTAACAAAATCTAGACATAGGTATCTAACTTTTTCCTGCCCACAGTCATACTAGAATACCTGAGTCAATTAGTTAATATGAATCGAAGAAACAAGAAGAGGAGCAGAAAAAAAAATAGAGAAATGGAAGGTGTAGAAGGTTAATTAACAGTTTAAAATCAGATTTCATATTTTCGTCCAAAAAACGACTATAATTTGTGGTGGTTTTGTGTTGAGTTTTATACGAAGAGATATAATTTTGAGATAAAAATATATTTAAACGTTAAATTTATTAAGAATTAAGTTATAAGCTAGAAAAAATTATAAATTAGGATACTTGCATTTTTTAATATAGATTGCACACAAAAGGAAGAAATTTGAGTTAAATCCAAAAAGGTTGCTAGTTAATTGAGTAAGATGTGCAAATTTTAATACAGAAAATAAACTTTTCTTAATCTTTTGTACATATATTTATAATACATTAAATTTATTCAATGCATTAGAAATTTCTCATATTGCAGAAACTATATTTACTGCTTACTACTCATATGCGAATAATCACACATAAATTTTGACAATACAAGCTCTCAATTAAATGTATTATGATTGAAAAAACATATTAATTTGTGGTACTTTTAAAGAAAGACAACTGGCCTGTGCAAATTGCTCATTTTCCATATACAATTATTCAGTATATTTCTAAAATAAATCACATGATTATTTTAATATACAATAACGAAAATTTTATGAGCTTATAAAATATCATATTAAAAGGTGCGAGCGTTTTGGATGTCTCGGGTCTATTGTTCAATGATGGTGATATAGATGGGATGTTATTAGTAGAATCTCAACTGGTTGGTTGAAGTGGAGAAATGCATCAGGCCTATTGTGTGATAGAAAAGTACCGCTTAGGCACAAAAGAAAAATTTTATAAGATGGTGATGAGACATGCAATGTTTTATGGCACAGAAACAGAATGTTGGCCTTTAAAAAATTTAAAAAACAAGCATAAAACTAAGTTAAGAGTTGTTGAGATGAGAATAATCAAGTCGATGAGTGGTTTGACAAAAGGACAAAATGCAAAAAGAATGTATCTATGAAAGGGTTGGTGTAGCTCCAGTGGCAGAAAAAAATAAAGAGAGTCGTCTTAGATGGTTGGGTCACATTAAACGTCAACCATCTAAGGATCCGGCTAGGAGAGTAGATGTTTTAGATTCGACTTATGTTATGAAAGAGAGAATTAGACCTAAAAAGACTTTGGCATATTGTATAAAAAACGATCTTAACTTATTAGAATTAAATGAAAATATGACACTTAATAGGACACAATGGAGGAAAAGGATTCATGCAGCCGACCCCACACAATGGGTTAAAGGCTTGTTGTTGCTCTTTTTGAATAAATTATTAAACAAAAAATAAGTAAATTCAATATAAGAGCTACTAATTTCTAATGAAATAGGATTTCCTAAAATAAACATGTACACATAGTTGATTTGCAATGAATTTGATTGGTTGATATGTTATAAATTTGATATCATTATCGTTTTATAACATAAATATGACAAGCATCAAATAAATTATAGAATATAAAATAGAAATTTGATGCAATAGTTTGATTTATTTAAATATATAAGGAGAATGCAATTGTACTCAAATCAATCAAAAGATACTCAGCTAATATGGTGATCCTATAATTGTGTTAAAAAAAAGAGAATTTTTTAGCCTAATTATTAAACCAAAAATTAGTACCTCATATTATTCTATATATTAATAATCAAAAGATTTATTTTTAGACTGCTTGTGTTGTACTTAGGAGAGAATTTTATTGTGATTATTTAAATAACAAATAATAATATAAAATTTGGATAATTAAAATTGATGAGAGTCAATTACAATACAAAGAAACACTAAAGATGCTAAATTTTAAGAAAATATTAAATCAAGTAAGAAGCTATTATTATTTATTTATTATTCATTATTAATGATTATATGTGCAAAACAATTTTTATCTAAAATTATAATTAATCATTTTTAACATGTTAATAATTTTGCTATCAAACATACATAAAGATGGGATAGAATTACCTATAATTACATAAGAAAAAGTCATAGCGTAAGTTTAGGGATATTTATTCATTAAGTTGACTGAATAAAATAATTACAAAATAAATGTAATATTGAGGTGAAAACAATATTATTTTGTAATTTATTATCACAAATTGTAGTATTTTTGTAAGAATTTCTCACATAAAAAGAAAAAAAAAGAAGAAAGACATTAAATTAATTAAATGGTAACTATTTGGGTAAGGTTAATGCAAACCTCATTTTCATCAGGAAATTCACAACTCCCCATAAAAAGCATGTGTTCTGTAAAAATATAGTAATAAAAACTGAAATTAAGCCACTCCAAGTCGAAATAATAATCAGAAAAAAAACACAACTTTTTATAAAGTGCATGAAAATATGATGCAACTATATAAACCATAGCAACATATTAAGAGGACAAGCATTCCATGTTAAGCAGCTCAACCACTTAGACATATATTCAATACAAAGCCCTTTGAGTCATTAGCCATATTTTTTTTCTTTTTTCACTAGAGCATGTAATCTGTGCTTAGCCACTAAGATGATAAGTTCATATGGAGCCCAGATAATTCGCACATCATTTATAACTCCTCATTTATAACTCCTCGCAAAAGTGTTGAAGACGTCGTTATTTTAGTAATGCTGATAGAGATAACAACTCAAGAATAGAGGAAACAATGATTGACGTGGAAGTCTAGAATTTTACTAGCTTTAACAAGAATTAATCAGAAATGATTATGTTCTCAAGCTAGTTAATTTGACGGACCCAGAATTCTTTACAGATGGTGTTCCAGTTTAACCATCACTGAACCAAGGAGGCATTATTGAGCTTCAGAGTTGATAAAGTAGGAAGCGTTTATATACCTATTTTACCATGATCAATGCATGTTGTACACCTTTATGCTCAACACAAAAACCTCATCCCAAACAATTACGTACTCAATGGCAATGGCTCACAATAACTCTAAATAATCGTTTACCCCCAGCAAATATTCCAGTGCTATGTTATAGAATTTTTAGCGCACAGCCCTCAGTTACTTTCAGACAATATAAGTTGTTAGTTTGATTACAGTGCATTATTGAAATCCACCATTTATTCCACACTATCAGTGCAGGATCACGCTACCCATCTTGTTGGGCACAACTTTGTGCAAATCAGTTCAAGATCAAATAGGCATTCAACAATAAGATAGCCAGTATATCACGACCCAGGCCCGGGGCTTGAAACTAACCAAAGAGGGAACGTAAAGTCAAACGGATGACTTAAATTTTTCATATTAACTCACTATTTAACAGATGAAAGAGCCACTAAAAATTAAATCAAAACGGAATAATTTATAATTACCTCGTTGATTTTTGTCTGCGTCTTCTATAAATGTTTTTAAGTTTATCACTCAGCTTTTAATAATTTAATTAAACCTGAAAAGTTAGTTAAAATAACTGTGAGCTAAAGAGCCAACGAATACTTATTCTTCTACACTACAACAATACAAGAAAAAAAATAATAATATGAATGTCAGTTAAGTTTTTTTATAAATCAAGAAAAACATCTGACATGCTATTTAAAAATTTTATATCATTATCATATCCATTACATTTCATATTTATACAACTGTCACAAGAAGCGCTACTTAAAAATTGTGTTAATTAAGACACGTTAATATCAATATTTTTTTTCCATTTATGTGCACGGGTATGTTAGTGTTCTCTCACTAGTATCATCAAGGAATGCTCCATCAGAGTCAGTCATGCATATACAAGCATTCAATATAAACATATGCATTCTATCGCATTCAACAATACTATATAAAATATACATTAAAATTCATAGGTAAATAACTAAAACATTCATAACGATATGATCAATAAAAAAAGAATAGCTCAATCATAATAAAGCATCAACAAATATCAACTGCAAACATATTTCAGAAGATATAAAGTTTAATTAATTATTATTTTAATAAGCTATTATCTTTTCATTATCATGCTTAATTTCTATTGATTACACACACACACATATATATATAGATAGAGAGAGAGAGAGATGTATGTCTGTGTGTCATCTACCGTGGCTTTTTGGCTGGCAGAGTTCATAAAACCCCTGGGATCATAGGTTCGATCCCACTTATGCACGGGATAGAATTCTTAAGCACATGAGATTGGTCGGGAGACTCCTATAATAGCCTCTAGTCAATGTTTTAAATATATACATACATACATACATACATACATATACATACATAAATACATACATACATACATACATACATATATATATATACATACATACATACATACATATATATATATATATACATACATACATATATATATATACATACATACATACATACATATATATATATATATACATACATACATATATATATATACATACATACATACATACATACATATATATATATAAACTTTCTTACCTTTAATACTGAAAATGCACAAAATGATGGCGTTGTTCCTCATTCTTCCCACACGCATCTCCTTCCAATTTCTTCTTCTGCACGACAATCCTTCCTCCTCTCGCTCAGCTAAATTCTTCTTCACAAAGCTCGACGAAGAAGCGAGAGCGTCTCGAAGCCTCCTTCCTCTCCTCAGCTCGTCATCGAAGTCGCTGCCTCCTCTCAACAGAGATGTCGTCTCCGCCCCAACCCTCGTGTCGCTTCTTCGAGTACGCTACTCCTTCACCCTCCTCTGCTCTCCGATCACCTTCCCATGCAATACGCAATTTATAGGGTGAATTCTCCACTTCGAGTTCCGACCCAATTCATTTCCTCTTCACACCAACTGTTTGCACTCTCATTGACTCTCTGATGCCCGACTCCTCGTTTCTTCTTCTCCTTTAATTCTTCGCTTCTCCTTCCTCCGTATAACAAAAATAGAAATGTTACAATCTTCCCCACTTACAAAAATTTCATCATCAAAATTTATAATCAAACCTTAAGCATGATCAACATTAGTTACCCATGAAATTAAGGGCCATTCATTAAGATGAAAGTAATCACTGTAAAGATAAAGACTAGATACAAAGCGACTCAACTATACTTCGGATAAGTGCACAGAGACAAAAAAAATACTAGGGAAATACTCTATATAAGAAAAAGCCACACTCTTCAGGCCTCATTACCATATGCAGCAGTGGGATCTTTAGGCTCGCTATGAGAGAGGGAAAACAACGAAGGTCGAACAAATTGTCTTAGTTGACCTTGGGTTAGAACTGAAGCCATAGACTCTATATTTTTCTGCTCATTGTTCGCCTTCTGTGAAGAAACTTCACTGACTTTCTGGTCTTCAATGCTTTTTTGCCAAAGAGATGGGCAATATCGTGTTATATGACCAGGCTGACGATACCAATAACAAGTGTTAGAGCCCATCAAGCATTCATCTTTATGTTGTCTTCCGCATTTGACACAAGTTGCTTCAGTACCCTGAGTTGTACCTCTGCTAACTCCACCTAAATTATTATTGGACTTCATCTCATTAGACCGTTGTGAGTGATCTACATGTTCTTTTGCAATCTTCCTCTTATTACTCCTTATGCTTCTGAGTAAGCTGATAATTGATCTATACTCTTCTAGCTCGTTCAACTAATACCAAATATTCATCGATTCCTAACAGTACCAACGGTTTTTTATCAAATTTTTTAATCCCGAAAGGAATCTGTAGCACTTTTTAATCTGTGATAGAGATCGATTATGGCAAATACCTCGATAGTACAGTAAATTTTGCTTCATACTGCACGATCTTCTTCTCTCCTTGCCTCAACTTGATGAGCATGTTTTGCATCTGTCGTCGAGCGATTAAAGATACAAACCATTCTCTAAAAAGGTCAACGAACGCCTCCCAAAATATCATCGTGTTGGATATGTTCCCTAACGTGTCCTGACGCTGCCTATGCTACCACCATTCGGCTTCTCCATCCAACACAAACGACACCAACGGTACTCTTCTTTCATCCGGACAAGCCATACTATCTAGTATTTTCTTTATCTTCATTAGTCAATTCTTTGCTTTAATCAGGTCTTCGGTTCCCTTGAATAGAGGTGGACGCAGATCCTAAAATATCTTCAAGTATTTATCCACAGCAACTGTATCATTAGGTTGCGATCTACTTCTGAATCAGTTGAGTCATCGTCGTCATTATCTGAGTGAAAACATTTGTGTTCACATTAATAGTATGTTGCACTTCCTCATTTTCTATCAGATTTTCTTCTTCTATGATTTCGGGTGTGTATCACTATGACTGAATTGATAACAATTATTACTTTGAGTTAAGTTTAATTTTTATAAAATTTTCTTAGAATTATCTTATAGACTCATTCATCAATATTCAATTAATTTATCCTAAATCATGGGCTTTGATATCACTTTTGTCACGACCCGACATGGGACTTGGAATTAAACAATGCAAGAACGGATAGTCGGGCAGGTGAATTAAATTTTCTATATTAACTCACAATATAACAGATGAAAGAACCACTAAAAATTAAGTTAAATCGATATAGTTTATAATTACCTCGTTGATGATTGTTCTATAAACATTTTCTTGTTTATTGATAATTTTTTAATAATTTAATTAAATCTGAAAAATTAGTTAAAACAACTGTGAGCTAAAGAGTCAGTGCACACTCATATTTCTAAACTACAGCAATACAAGGAATAGAAAAAATAATCTGCATGTCAGTTAAGCTTCTTTGTAAATCAATTTAAATATTTGATATGATATTTAAAGATTATATCATTATCATATTAATATCATTTCATATCTACACAACTGTTACAGGAGATACCGTCTAAAAATTATATCAATTAGAACAAATCAAAAACAATATTCTTTTTCATTAAGTGCACGGGTAAATTTGTGTTTCCCCGCTAGTACCATCAAGGGGAGTTTCATCATAGTCAGTCACGCATATACAAGCATTCAATATAAACATATATATTCATCGCATTCAATCATATTATATAAAACATACACTCAAATGTCTAAGTAAATAGCTACAACATGCACAACAATATAACCAATAAACAAAAGAATAGCTCAATCATAATAAAGATCCGCAAATATCATCAATTGCAAACATATTTGAGAAGAAACAAATTATCACTATAGTTTAAAAGTACAAATATATTTGTGTCATGTACTCAGATCAGTTGGTTGAGCATTTGCTTGTCAGTTGTAAGTCCCCTCTGGTCTGGGGTTCGATTCCCTCCAATGGAAAGTGTAGTACTTGAATAGTTAGGCGCACCAGGGATAGTCGAGGCTC